AGTATGAGTTTAGTAGATGGAACAACATGGAAGGTTTGGGTCTAGATTGTTAGAGAACAGAGAAGTAAAATTTATTTTGTGAAATGACAAGAAAGTGACTCTCTAGTTAAAGAGATGTCAAGAGTATGTAGAGAGAATGATATTGTAGTATCATGAAAGAAAGATGTGTAAGAAATGATGTATCATCGTAGATGGAGAAAAAGAGAAAGGAGATAGCTGAGAAGATAGAGAGGAAGTGGTGCAATAAGTGTCATAATTGATACTTAGGAGGAAGAGAGAGATAGTAGAAGTGTTGATGTATTGGACTGTTAAAAGCCAAGGAACTTGAGAAATGTGGGTCAAGACTTCTGTGGAAGTAAGAGTTAGAGTATGTATAGTAAGAGGACACTTTGTGGTATGCCTATATAAGAGAAATAAGAGGAGGTGTAGCTCCTATAGTTAGAAAAGATGGACAAGTGATTGTATGAAGATGTGTGTGTTATGTAACACTTTACTTATGGGTAACTATAAGAGAAAGAAGAAGGATTGACCTTACGTGTAATAAGGGATATTTAGAGAAATATTATGAAGTTAAATAAAGAAGTGGGGGGAAAGAGGACTCACTGGAATAGTCTAAGGTTGGGTGTAGTTTCCCTAATAGAGAATGAAATAACTCAGTGTTATCTAGAAATGAGATGCTAGAAACATTGGGAGTGTGTGACTTACCAATGCAAGAAAAGAGTAAGCATATGAAAATACAAATTTTGGATGTCTCAAGAATAAAGTAGGTAATAAGAAGTGGGAAGGTCATTGCAGTTGGCTTGCGAGCAGCCGTGGACTAAAGATAATGAATACTCAAGAAACTTTCATGTTGTGAATTAGGTGATGAAGTGGTGATATTGAACCTAGGTAAGTATGACATGTATGCAGTGTATGGGCACTGCAAACACATGCTACTTATTATAGTTCAATGGAATCACTAATTTTCCTAAGGATCAAGTGGTTGAGATGAGCAGTGATAACATGGTTGATTGAGAAGAGTTTTCATGAAATAAATAGAAAACTTGTGAACCGGGGAAGGTAATGGTGAGGTTGAATCTAGGTAAGGATAGTGTGCATGAAGAAATATGGGTTATGCCTACACATTGCAGTTATGGCGATTCAGTAGAACCATTAAGCAACATGAGGATCGAGTGGCGGGACAAGAAAGATAAACATGCTACATAGAAGAAATTACCATATTTAGTGTGAGACTTGGTGTCTTAAGAGTAAAAGAAAGCTATATTTGAAAGTTTGGTGCACAAATTTTCAAGAGAATATGGAGAAAGAGATGTTGTAGTTAGATACAACATTTTAGAATGAAAGTGAAATAAGTAGATGTAACAATTCAACAAGGGTTAGAGCGATATATTCGTGCATGAAAAAGAGAAACAAAAAAGAGGATTATATACATTATAATCCTTTGTAAGATCATGTACTTATAATTATACACTTAAGATCATGTATATGAGCATTTGTGTATAACCAAAGCATGTTATGAGTAATACCCTAAGAGTAGATAAAAAAAGTATTGCATTAAATGTCTTATAATCCTATATAAGAATAGATTATGAGAGAAGGTAGTTATGTATACCTAAAAGAGTTCAGATAGAGATAAAGAATGATCATACCTAAATGTTACTAGAAATGGATAAATACTAAGTACTTAATGAATTAAGTACTAGAAGTGTAATAGAAGGTCACTTTATGAGATAAAGAGATAGAATGTTCGTGGGACAATAAGTATGTGATGATTCACATAATAGAGATAAACATGTGTAGAAAGATGATTCCATCGGGAATGAGATAGATGTTCCTTCGGGGACAAGATTATGATTTCATCGAGACAGACAACGAGTGGACACCATAGCATATGGGTGCCATGGTGCGGGGCCAAAGTAGAATGCCCTAGAAAAAGAGTACCAGCGCATGGCAGCAAGATGGCCACAACAAGGCAATTGAATGATTGACTTTGGCCCGGGTTAAATAGTTGACACGACGCAATGAACATGTAATCTTAGCGGTTAGCTATATATCAAAACCTTTGTTTCATTTCATTCTCTTCATAAGCAACCCCAAACCCCTATATAAATAAACTCAGACGATTTGGAGAAGGAAGAACGATCAAAGGGAGATTATGGGTATTTATGGATTGGATTGAACATTAGACACGCATGAGGTAACCACCTTCTCCCTAATTACGCTAATTAGGGATTTATTGTGTGTTGATGATTTTGTTAGATTGCTTGGCTTGATTAGCCTATAGACTGAGTATGATATTAGTGATGGTGTTTAGAAGCTTCGAACAAGCTTTATATGCGATTTTAATGGTGAAATGCGTGTATGTGAAGTTAGGGTGTGAAACGTTAACTAGTGATTGATAAATTGATTTATTATATTAGATTATAATGAATTAGGTATTATAGGGTGCTTAACTCATTGTTAGGATTGGATTAAAAGAGATAAAATGAGAAAATAGATTTATTATCCATTAAGTGGTTATTTTGAATTAAAGAGCAAATAAGCTCTTAATAGGATAAGATAAGTATTAAGATCTTTGTATGTATGTATCAATAAGCCTTCAGAAAGAATATGGATCAATATAGTATCAATTGGATAGAGGAGTCAAGAAGGATAGTTAGTCCCTCTGTCCCAAAATTTTTGCCTACGTTTGACTTTTGAAGTCTTTCAATGTCAACATTGACCATAAATAACTTTATTTGTGTTATATGAGTTTTGATGAGACTTATAAAAATGAAAATACATTTAAAAAACAATCAATTCATATATCTTTCATAAAAAATTATATAAAAAAAGTAAATTATTTAAGGTCAATGTTGAACAAAAGAGACTTAAAAAGTCAAACGTGGACAATAATTTTGGGACGGACGGAGTATATCTTAATATGTTTGTATGTATGTATATATGTATGTATGTTTTTATGCAAGAGTCAAATATCAGAGTCTGACAAAGAGAAAGAAAGAAGAGGATTATATGCATTATAATCATGAGTAATATCATGCACTTGTGATTATACACTTAAGATCATGTGTCAGAGCCTGTGTGTATATCCAAAGTATGTTGAGATGTACAGAAAGGGAATAAGGGTGTTATGAGTAATATTCTTACGAGTAGATAAAGAAAGTACTTGATTATATGTCTTATAATACTATGTAAGAGTAGATCTTGAGAAAAGGTATCTGTGTATACCTAAGATAATTCAAATAGAGATAGAGGATGATTACATTTAGAATAATCATAGTGTAAGTTCAATGTTTAGACATGATGGTATTGTGTGGAATACCTAAGTGTTACTAGACACGGATAAAGACTAAGTACTTAATGAATTAAGTACTAGAAGTATAATAGAAGATCTCTTGATGAGATAAAGAGATAGAATCTCCATGGGGCAAACATTATGTGACAAGTCGCATAATAGAGTTAGAGATGTGTAGAAAGATGATTCCTTTGGGAATGAGATAAATGTTCCTTCGGGGACAAGATTAGGATTCCATTGGGAAAGAGATAAAGGTTACTTCAGGGATAATATTTTAATTCCTTTGGGAACGAGATTGAGGTTCCTTTGGGGACAAGATTATGATTCCGCCAGGGATGAGAAAGAGGTTCCTCCGGGGAGAAGAGTATGACTCATCCGAGAATGCTATGATGGTTTTTTTAGGGAAAATAAATAGATGAGCCCTTTGGGGATGTAGATAGATGATTCTCGTGGGAACTAATCATTATGTATGGTTAAAAAAGACAGAGAAAGTGTTCCATGAGTGGAACAAGGTAATGGATTTTTTTAAGAACTTAGAAATAATCTATGAGGGATTCAAGAGAAGAAAGAAAATGTCAAGGGATCTATGAGAGATCGAGAAGCGATGTATGAGATCAAGAAAGAAGAGTAACATAAGAGCATGTATAGATCATAGAGAATAGCAGAGGAAAGGATGAGTTGAAATAGATTATGGATGGAGATAGTAAGATTAATAATAGAGTAGAGAAGAGCTTGAGGTAGAGGTGGAGATAAAGTATGTAGAGAATATAAGATTAGCCTGAGAAAAGGCTAAGAAAAATAAAAGAGATAGATGATTGGGAAGAATAGAAGTGTGTTCTATTGGAGAAGAGTAGTAGAGGGTAGAGTATGAGAATAAGAAAATATAATGCTAAGACATGAGAAGAGATAGATGTGGTGAGATGAGAAGGATTGGTAGTCTAGGCCACAAGAAGAAGGCTTTAGAATGTAGAGCATGAGATAGAAGAGAAGATGAAAGATTAGTGTATGAAAAATTAGAAGAAGAGTAGATGAACCTGAAAATAGAAAGACTATAACTCAACGGGATTGGTCCAACTGTCCCTTCCCTGGTCCTACTCGATTTTTATTAGAATAGAGGGAATATTATTAGTGGAACGGGAGCACTTACGCTACCATTTTCCCTTGCATCATCATTAAGTGGAATGTGCACAAAGTAATAGAACCATTGGATGGCCAGCGATGGTGTCCTTCCTTTACCGGGTCTGGGTTGTTGGCCCTATAAAGACTATCATGTTAATAAGTTGGTCATGTCATTGACCTATGAGATGGCTCGTTGGTTGGATAATGATTAGAAGTTGGTTTGACGGGTTGTTGTTGCTCTTTAAGTTGTGTCGCGACTTACCCGTAGGGGTATGTCATCAATCCCCCTTAGTCTAGTAATGATGGTGTGGGCACAGTCCAACCATTATGGTATAGATTTCAATCACACATGTCTCGGTTTTAACTACTTGTGCGATTATAACTTTCGTATTTTTATTCGAGATTTTCGACCCCTTGGTTACGATGTCATCTTTCATTTTTGATTTCCCGCTTTTTAAATCTTTTCCATAAATACTTCTTCTACTCATTCTTTCATCTTCATTCTATCTCTTCCTACTTCATCTTCTCTTATACTCTTTCATCGTTTCTGATATAGCTTTTCCACTAACCATGTTCTCTTCCGTCGATGTGGATCCCTACACTGGATTACTTCGATGCTCTTCGTGAGAAGTATGGTTTTCAGCTGGAGGATAGCGTTGTGATTCCTCTTGATGGAGCTTCGTTCTTAGATCGTCCTACTAGAAAAGTTGGTATCTTTTTCAAGGCCTTCAATATCGTCTATCGCCTAACCACTTATTATTTTCTTGATGAGTTGCTCTGTAAGCATGGAGTAAACATCTACGAATTGAATCCAAATGTTATGACCAAGATTGCAGCGTTCGAGATGCTTTGTTGTTCCCAAGGGTTTCTTCTAGACATCTGGGTGTTTAAGAATTATTTTTGTCTCTCCTCCTCTAATGAAAAATAGACTTTTTATACCCGGAAAAACAGTAATGTCCTTTATCACGAGGGAAAAAATATCATTAAGAATTTGCAAAGTTACTGGTTCTGGGTGGACGGCTCTTATGTCGGAGGTCCTTACTACTATATCGACTCAAATTTTGACAAGGCTCCCAAACTCCTTCCTCATAACCTAGAGGTTTTCTTTATTTTGAATAGCTTTATTGTTATTCCTAAGGAGTTCCTTAAATATATTATCGATGGGGCTAGGATGAGCACCGTGTGGTGTTGTCATCGTGAAATATAGGAAATTTTTGTTTTTAAGAATGGCAATACTTTCCCCTCCCCCCCTTTTTTAGGGAAGAAATAAGATATGATATGTGTTTTCCCTCAACAACGGTGGAACGGGTGTTAATATTTTCCGATTTTTTGGGAAAGAAATTTAAGGGAGTCCTCCAATTTTGCCTTGTTGCTTTAAACTATGCATTTCCCTTTCCTACCCAAAAATTAGCTAGGTCATGTCTGCCTATATAGTTTCTGCTTTTAACCAATTGATTGTTATTGAGGGTGATCCACCTTCCACAACTCTAGTGAGTGTTGCTGCTACTGTGTTGCCTCCCTTCGAGGGAGCTAATAACTCAGAGTGTGTTGTGGAGTGTAAAGATGGTATATTGACTGAGTTTTGCAGCTGCCGCTTGAGGAAGAGAGGTTTGCTAAGCATCAATTTACCTTCTGGAGGTATGGGTGGGACATTTATTGTTGATCATTTCCATACGAGAAACCATGGTATAAATTTTGTTGCCAAGCTACCTCCTTCCAGCAGGGAAGTGAAAATTATCCTCGATGATGATGCTAAACGGTGTGAGGGAGTAATTGGGTGCAAGAGCAGCCTATTGTTTCGAAGTTAGCGTGTCCAGGTAGCCTACATCAAACACATGAAAAGGTGTCAAAAAGGTCGCTCGTGGGATCAGACATGTCTGACTATGATGATATAGTTGCTGACTAGCAGGTGAAAGGTCCACTAATGACTCTAGTATTTCCTACAAGGAGGGGGCTACTAAGTTTTTCCGTCATGCTTTCCCAAGTGGATGCTTATCTGAAATGGATTGTTTTTTTGTTTGATGATCAAACAATTGGTTATCTGGTGTTTTCTTTTGTGTAAAGTGCATTTTTTCTTACTGCAGGTGCTCGGCGTCTTCGTCGTTTGAACATCTTCAATGCGAAACTTCGTTGGACTGAGAAGGACATGCAGCAGTAGGTGGCTTCTTTAGAGAAAAAAATTGGTTCCTCACATCAATAAAGATAGTTAATTGTTGTTGAGAAGATGGTTTATGAGGAGTGCCTAACATATGTGGAAAACAAACTTGATGAAACTTTACAAAAAAACGAGTCTTTGAATATCCAAGTGGAGAGTTTGGAGAGGGAGTTGCTAGAGAATGAGAAATAGCTTCTAGATCATGAGGTCAAGACAACGAAGATTGAAGATGAACTCAAAAGTTTATAAAATCTTTGAGCATCCCCAATTTTTTGCAAGGTGTTGATCGGATTAAGAAAATGTGTTTGGCCGCTTGCAAGGAGTCGGGTCGTGAAGGTGTGGAAAAGGAGATTATCGTTGGGACCTTTGATGCTGGTGAGATAGCAGATTCTATTGATGCCTTTATCACTTGTGATTATGCAGCTTTGATGCAGATAGGCAAGTTGGATATTGATGGTCTCTAAAAGCTTTGTGTCGATGATGATAGTGATGGTGAAGTTACTAGTGGAGCCAAGATTACTAGCTTGGACGGAGGTGTGGACAAGTAGGCGAGGGTATTTTTTGTGGGTGATAGGAGTGTTCCAATTGTGCTGCCCATTATGGGTGTGTTGTCTCTCTTTTTAAGTCAGTTTTTACATTTAGTAGCCTTGCGCGACTTTTTTCTTTTGCTAACTTTTGGATGTAACTATATTTAGGAGCTTATGTTTGCAATGTTAATATTGTTCTTTTTGAAATTTCATTTGTCTACCATGTTCAAGATGTGTCTGTTTTTGATTCTTACTTTTCTTCGCTTACCCAATTTGCTTGGTACTTTAGTCTTTGGAGTTTGTTTTCTTGTTGTGGGATGTATTTTTGGGAGAACTGACATACGGCTGTAAATAGTTTATAGCAAAGTTAATATTATTAACAATATGGCAGAATATGTTTAGGTAAAAGTTATAACGTCTTCAAATAATACAGGGTTGGTTTGTGCAACATGTCGCTTTTGTAGTTGTGTTCAGATACCAAGCATTTTTCTTGGTAAATTTTAAAAAGTTTTTAACCAAAACGAGGTTGGGCTGAGAATCCTGTTGCCGGAAAGAGTTGGACTGAGAAGCCAAACAATTTTCTTGGTAAAGGTTACAATCCTTTTAACCAAAATGAGGCTGGACTGTGAAGCCTGCTTCCGTGAGGAGTTGGGGAAAAAAGCCAAGTAGTTTTCTTGGTAAATGTTACAATCATTTTAACCAAAATGAGGCAGGGATAAGAAGCCTGCTGCTGTGGGGAGTTTGGCTAAGAAGCCAAGAAATTCTCTTTGTAAAGGTTATAATCCTTTCCACCAAAATGAGGCAGGGCTGAAAAGCCTGATGTCGTGAGGAGTTAGGTATAGAAGCCAAGAAACTCTCTTAGTAAAGGTTATGAACCTTTCAGCCAATATGAGGCAGGGCTGAGAAGCATACTACCGTGAGGAGTTAGAATGAGAATCCAAACAACTCTCTTGGTAAAAATTATGATGCTTTTAACCAGTAAAAGGAAGGGTTGAGAAGCCTACTGCCATGAGGAGTTGGGCTGAGAAGCCAAACAACTCTCTTGGAAGAGGTTATGATCCTTTCAACCAAAGGGAGGCAGGCTGAGAAGCCTGCTTCCATGAGGAGTTAGGTTGAGAAACCAAGAAACTCTCTTGGTAAAGGTTATGATCCTTTTAGCCAAAGTGTTTTTGTGAGAAAATCATTTTCAGAAAAAGAAAACTACTTCGGTGATCAATCCATCTAGCAAGTATTTGCATAAAATCGTAAATTGTAAAATTTGTTACAAGGAAAAGGTATGGCCGTAGATACTTCCACTTTTTGATACCGTATTCCCCTATTATGCAATTTTTCCCCTCTTTTCATTTTAGAAGAAAAACTTTTTAAGATGTTGAATATTCCAAGTGTGGGGAATCTTTCTTCCTTCCAAGGTATCCAGCTCATAAGATCCATTTCAATGTGTTTCCGTTATTCTGTATGGGGCCTTTTCACGTCGAAGCTAGTTTCCCCCTAGGCTCATGACGGCTTATTTCATTTTCTCGCATGACCAAATCATCCACTTTCATGACTGGCCTGTGTACCTGTTTTTTGTAATAATTATTAGTTTGCGCCTTGTATGATGCTTGACGGAGTTGGGCTCTTTCTCGCTTCTCTTATAACATATCAAGGTTATTTTGAAGATCGTTTTTTAATATTCCTTGATAAATTCCGCCACACACATAGATCCCGTTAGCAACTAGGGTGGGAACACCGCTTTTGTCACGTATGTTAAGCTGAACGGTGTCTCTTTGCTACTAGTCAGCAGAGTGGTTCGGTAGGACCATAGGATATTAGGGAGCTCTTTAGAGAAGTTGCCTTTTGTTTTTCCTGGCGCTTATTTATTTTTTTTCACCAAATTTTTGTTGGATATTTCTGTTTGGTCGTTGTCTTGTGGGTGAGCCACTGAAGTAAAGTGTTGTTGTTTGTGCCTGTTCTACCATCATCCTCTAAAAGGATTTTCTACGAACTACAACCCATTGTTGTTGATCAAAGTTTTAGGGGGTCCCAAAAAGGGTTATTATATTTTTCCACATGAAGTTAATCATGTACATCCCTTTTATTTCTGCCACTAGATATTCTGCTGTCTACTTGGTATTATAGTCGACGGTGACCACCAAGAATTTTACTTTCCTTGGTGCTTCCTGGAAAGAACCAAAAATGTTAATCCCCCATTCATGGAAAGGCCATGGGCTCTTGATGTTGGTTAAGTTGTCATATGGAATTCATTGCGTAGGAGACAACCTTTGACACTCTATATATTTTCTAGTGGCCTCATCTGCTTTTTTGTACATGTCTGGCCAGTAGAGGCCCATACGAAGTATTTTTCTAGTTAGAGCTCTTGCTTCGTCATGCGCCCCTGCTTTGCCTTTTTGTGTTTCATCGAATACTTTCTTTACCTCACTTGTTGTTATTCATTTGAACCACGATATCAAATATCCCCTCCTATATAGGTCTCCATTTCGAATTGGGAACAACGGTGCTTTGCTTTTTGTTTTCAGTGCTTTGGATAAATCACCGGGTCGCAAGCCATGCAGAATATAATTATAAAATGGAGTAATCTAGCCGCTTTTATCTGTGGAGATGGTGTTTGTCTTTTCATCACATATACTTCGTTGGTGAAGTATTTCCACCAATACTTTCATCGAAAGGTGATTGACTGTAGTGGGTGCTAGCTTACTTAAAGCATCTGCTCACCTATTCGCGTTTCTCTTTAGTTGTTGTATGGACAAATTTTCGAAAGATGCTGCCATTTTATTCACATCTTCCATGTATTTTTTCATTGTTGCATCCTTCGTGTCGTATGTTCCATTGACTTGATTTGTGACCAACTTCAAGTCAGTCATTTCTTTCAAGTTTTTACTTCTATTTTTCTTGTTATCCTTAGTTCTGCCAACAATGTTTCATAATTAGCCTCATTGTTAGATGCCTCAAAGTCAAAACATAGTGCATAAGAAATTTCATTGCCTTCATGATCTGTGAATATGATGTCTTCCCGATAACATCCAACTATTATTCCCAGCTACGAGTTCTCTAATCCTATCTGGATAGGTATGGTTATTTTTGTGTTTCTCATCTGGAATTTTTGTCAATAAATCCGTTTAAGCTTTCCCTTTGATATTCTTTTGAGGGTGGTAGTCAATGTCATATTCCCAAAGTTTAATTCCACATTTTGTTAACTTCCTAAACTTCATAAGTCGCAATAGGATGCTCTTGAGTGGTTGGGTTGTCATGACTTCAATTCGACGAGCTTAGAAATATCAACATAATCGTCTACCTACATATACTAATGCAAATACCACCTTTCAAACATTGGGTAGTTCAGTTTCACTCCCTGTAGTGCACTACTTATGAAGTAAATGGGTAACTGACTATCTCTTCTTTCTATTATTATTAGTATCGATACAACTTCTTCCGTTGCAGGTAAGTATATTGATAGTGTTTCTCCTAGCATGGGGGTGGTGAGGGTTGGAAAAATATGGAGTGCTTTCTATAACTTGTAAAGGTCATGTTCTGCTTGTGGTGTCCAACGGAAACTATTCTTGTCGATGCACCCCTACCACATTTGAAACAATGGCATGGCCTTGTAGCACACCATGGTATGAAGCGCCCTAGCGTCGTGTTCTTCCCATTTAATGTCTACATGTCTTTTAAGCTTCTTGTTTCTGTTACATCAAGTAACTCCTTCACCTTTTCTGGGCTTGGCTGTATTCCTTTGCTTGTTACATAATACCTTCAGAATTCTCCCTCCTGTATGTCGAATTTTGCATTTGACTGGGTTTAGCTTCATGTGGACCTTTTCTAGGGCTTGGTGTGTTTCTTCGACATCTTCAAGTAATGTTGAGTCATTGGGGATTTTAATTATCATGTAGTCCACATAAACCTCTATATTTCTTTCTTTCTGATCCGTGAAAACCTTATCGACCAGACGTTGATAGGTCGCCCCAACAGTTCTTAATGCAAAAGGCATTTTTTATAGAAAAAGTGTCATGATTTGTGTAGAATGTCGTCTTTTCCTCATCTTCATTCCTCATTAGCATTTCATGGTAACCCTTATATGCATCTAGAAAATATTTCCACTAAAAACCTTGTATTGACTCGACCTTTTTGTATATCTCAGGTAACGGGTATGAATCCTTAGGACATGCTTTGTTTAAATCTGGGTAGTTAATGCACATCATGCAGCTTTCGTCACTCTTCTTGGCCATGAATGGGTTTTCAGTCCAGGTTGGGAAGAATGCCTCATGTAAGATGCCTTCACCGACTAGTATAACTACATATGTATTTATTTCCATATTCCATTCTCCCGCTTGTTTCTGCTTCTTCTGTTTAATTCTACTGATTCCTTCTTGTATGTTTAGCCCATGTTCAATTACAATTTTGTCTACCCCTACCTTATCGATTGTTTTCCATGTAAAAACGTGTGCATACTTCTCCAACAACATTATTAATTTCCCTCTCTTCGTAACAGGGAGCATTGTGTTGATCCATACTGGTTTGTCAGGGTAATTGCTATTGATGACCTCCTTTTCCTTGGGTGTTTTTTCTCTTGGGAATTTGAATCCTATGGTGATATATGTGGCTTCCATGATTTGATTGCATTTGTGCCTTGGCATGGTCTCAACAAGTATTATTATTGGACCGTCTGATGTATTGAACTTGACCAGCCCGTGCACCGGTTACACTATGGCTCCAAATTTTAGCAGTACAGTCCTGCCTAGGATGATGTTATGCTTCGTTGAGTGGCATATCACTATAAATTCTATTATGACTTTCTTCATTCTCTTGTCATCGGGACCGTTCAGTGATAGCTGTAACTTCATTATTCCCAACAACCATATGTCGAGCTCTTCCTTCCATTCCCTAGGCATTTTTCTAAAACAATGCTCAAAAAATAAATTTAGCAAAGCTCCATGTATCTATGTAAACTCTGTGGATTCTGGTGTCATGAATTTATGCCTAGATAACAAGTGGTCCACTCCTACTCAAGTTGTGTGGGCGTGGATCGTGCATAGATAAAATGATGTTCATCTTATTTTTGATCATGTATTTTGTGTGATCTGTTACATGGCTGCTACTCTATCTTGATCGGATGTCTAATATTTCTTGTGCCGTCTCTTTTGGTCAATCATCATTTCGGTGTTGTCACTGTGGAGCTCTCTTTTCTCCACATTTGATGCGAAGACTCCATCCTATATTATTTATGTTGCCCTTCAATTGTTTCTCCTCCATTTACTGTCGTAGCATGGCACATTCGAATGTATCGTGTACTGTGATGCGATGATATTCGAAAATTTTAGCTCTTGCCTTACCATGTTTCTCATACCACTTGTCGGAGATGGAGTATATTTTTTACCGTCTCGCTCTTATATCGTCCCGATGATATGGTTGGTTTTGCACGTCATGTTAAGAGTTGCTTTAATGAACCATTCGAAGTATTCTTTCACTGATTCTCCTTCTTATTGTTTACATCCAATGATGACATGAGTATCTCCTCTATAGCGTCATAGTCATATAAAAATTGTTAGCAAAGCATACTTTAGCTACGCAAAATTATTGATACTTCTTGGCACTAACCTCTTGAACCATGTCCTTGCATTTTCCACCAAGCATGGTAGGGAAGTATGTATGCGAAATTTATATATTACTAGTTTTAAATTTATAAAACTAACCTACTTAACTAACTAATTTCACTTACACATTGTACCTAGTAAATTTATATGATAGTTTAGGTAGATTAGGTGTTGATCATAGGGAACATAATATTAATTTAGAAAATAACTACTAATAATTAAAATAAGAATCAACTTTTA